GGGAGAGAGTAGAGTGTAGTTTGCAAGGACATGAGCTTTAGAACCAGACGAAGCTAGATTTATACCTCGGTTCCAGCCCCTTTAATACCTAATCTCAACCAAATTACTCAATCCTTCATTCTCAATAAAATGATACCTACCTTATTTGGTTTTAATAAGCATTAAATTAAGTGATAATAAATGTAAAGCAATGATCCACATGCTTGGTGCGTGGCCAGTATTTAGCCGATGGTGTTACCTTTGGAGTATTAAAAATGAATAAATATAAATGCTGAGGGTTTTTTTCCCTAAGTAACAAAAAATAATGGAAAATTATTGTGAGTTTTGAAGGGAGATTCCTATATCAGTCAGTACTATTAATAGTAAGAACAATTTAGAGGAAGTTGAACAGGAAAAGATAGAAGGCTAGTTTTGGTGTAATGAATAAGGCCTGAACTTGAATTCACAAAGCTTGAGTTTGTGAGGTGCTCCTTCCTCTATGAACAGGCTGTCTGATCTTGAGAAAGTCACTTTTACTCATTTTTCATATTTATAAGATAGGAATTAAATTCAATACCAATTTGAATATGGCATATGATTTGATTATTAAACATAATATTACAACTTTACCAAAGAAACCAACAGTGTACAAAATGCTTTGAAATCTGTAAAATCATATATAAATACAAAGAGTGTTGTTAGGGTAATTACTGATAGTTAAAACTTATTCATTATTGAAGTTCATCATTAAAGTTGAAAGATTATTCTCTCAAAAAAGTGGAGGTATTGAGTTACCAAATTTGGATGAACTTTGTTTAAAATTATTTTTATTTTTATTTATTTGACAGAGAGATCACAAGTAGACAGAGAGGCAGGCAGAGAGAAGGGAGAAGCAGACCCCCTGCCGAGCAGAGAACCCGATGTGGGGCTTGATCCCAGGACTCTGAGATCATGACCTGAGCTGAAGGCAGAGGCTTAACCCACTGAGCCACCCAGGTGCCCCTGGATGAAAATTTTTAAGAAGTAGTTATTAGATTGTGAAATCAGAATTTATGAGGAGAAAAGAGATTGATATTAACAATATATTTGCAATACTTCTGAAAACATTTCTATGGTGTTTATCCCACTAGTGACCCTGCTATTCTTTTTTCAATGCCTTTAGCAATATTGGAACAGGATTAGAGTTTTGAGTTTTATCTAACATTTTGCTTTGTACCTGTTATATCAGTATACACATTGGCTAGCACCTGACTCGAGTAATTTAGGATTATATCATTTGTATCTGTTCCTTAGAAATTTCCAAGGAGAAATTGGAAAGGGAAATTAGCCATATGAAATAAGGAGAAAGAGAAATTAGCCATATGAAATAAGGTCAGAAAAAAATAGAAATCATGTTAATAAAATAGACTTTTTATTATTATATTTTGATCTATGTATTATTATATTATGGTCCCTGGCTTTAGACAATAATGGGTTTTGTTAATAATAACACTTATATCAATAAGTTAGTTATGTCTAAATGTTTCATTTATCAGAAACTTTTAATATTCGTGTTCTACCTGTGTTAAACATATACCTTGGTAGGGTATGCAATAATGTCACCAGACAAGAGAAACAAGAAAGTCCCTTCACAACAATGACTGCTGTGCTGTTTGAAGGTTAATTGTCTTTCAAGCGTGCAGAGAATCTTTATCATGTCATATTTCAGAAATATGTTTTTGGAGATGGGAAACAAAAGGCCATGACTTAATGTTTTTTGTTGAACCACTATAATTCTTCCAAAGCATTGAATATGTATCACAACAATTTCTGTTAAAGAAAATATCAAGTCCTTAAAGAAAATTTCCTATTTTGCAGGTAGAGAGGAAATTAAGAATGCACCTTTTTTGTCATTGTTTTTGGTTTGGTTTGGTTTGGTTAGTACACTATAAGAAATTTGCATTGTAAAGCAAGCTGCTGTTGTCAGCTCTTTAATGTACTGAGCAGTCAGGAAGCTGCCTCCACCCTAAGAGGCTTAGAGACTGAGCAACTGAGTTACACAGCAGGTGCCCAGGCCAATCAAGTCAACTTTCTAATGCAAAGTGCATGTTGTGGAACTTGTTCTATTAGTTTTTTTTTTTTCTCTCTCTCATAAGGAAGCAAGAATTTTTCTCTGTGGATGTAGTGCTATTTCTATTTTGAGAAAAAATAATAAGGAATTTGATAACAATTGACTGGTGTTAAAACAACAAATTACCTTTTAAAAATAGATTATCCACACCTATAGGAAGAATCTCAAGAAGGCACACAGTTAATTAAAGCTGGTTCTGAATTACACATGCAAATATGCTCTACTGTCCAGTAAATAACTGGTTGTGTGCACAAAACTTTTCTTTCCCAGAAGTAGCAACGAAGCAAGAATTTTTTTAATCAACAATATAAAATCTCATTAACATATTTTAGTTGGAGATCTTCAGAATTTTATTTCCTTTTGCTATTGAAAAGTCACAATAACTAAGAGGAATTAATGTATGTTCTTTTAAATTCACAAATGTTGCAGTAGTTAAGGGTGGGGTGAGGGTACACAGAAATAAGTTGGCAAGAAAAGGTTCAGGGCCTATTACAAAACCAACTGCAAGCCAAGTATGATTCCAGATAGACAAGAACCACCTGTTACAACAGAGGGAGAGGTTTAGAAGATGAAATGAGAAGGGGGTGACCTTAAAGATCATTTTCCCAATTGTAATACAAACAACTAAGGGAACATGCAGATATTTATATCAAACACATGTGAATAAAATATTTGCCACATGTTATTCAATATTAGAAGGCATATAATCACTTATGTATTTCTAGTTAATCAAGAGAAACTTCTGGACATAGATGGTTTATTATTGGTAATAGTAATAACTACCTGGACATTTACCTAGTGCCCTATTGAATCCTCACAACAACCCTTTTGTTTCAGAGGGTGTTTAACACATGAGGAGACTGATACACAGAGTTAAGTAACATGCTCAAGGCCACACACTTAGTAAGGGATGGAGCCAGGATGCAATCATATCTAACTCCAAAGCCCATGCTTTCAACAATTCTGCTGTACTGTGTACTGCATAAATACATGTTGTAGTCTTTGGAAAACTTTACTTTCTGGACTTGACAAAAAATAAATAAATAAATAAATAAATAAATAAATAAATAAATAAATAAATAAAATTAGAAGGGACCTCCCAAACAGCTTAAAGTCCACTAACAATTGCCAAGAACTCAATGACACATTATTGTACAATTGGAAAAGACAGAAATTCAATGTCACATGAAATGCTTAAGGAAAAATGAATGATTTTGCTTGGCCCTTGCAACATCAGAAACCTGAATGAACTCTGCCTCAGAATGGAATATACAATGTATCATTAGAACACACTCTAAACGTTCTTCTTAGTAACAATGCGACACATAGAAAGAGTTCCCTTTTTAATTCTTTTCCAATTTCATAAAATTAGGAAAAATTTCCACCTCTAAAGCAATTACCCACACACAAAAGAAAAGAAAAGAAGCTCTATAAAATAACTTGCGTTGACTTAAAAGTATTGTGATCATAATGCAGTGATCCTATCAAAGTGCCCGAAATATCTATTTAAAAGATGTGAGTATGTGAAAATTTCTTGTAGAGGGCGAATCTCAACTACTGATGTAACGATTCATATGAACTTTGTTCTTGATTATCTTCAAATAAAAATTTTATGATCAGAAACGGGGCGTTAAAAGGAGAATTAAAGTTAGTCGGCAATAGGAAAGACAATCTGTCAATGGAAGGACGTAGGCATAGAATTCGGAACGTCAGGAAATACCCAATGTCCGTCACTCAGAATTTAGTTCTTTGTGGGTCGATTACTTCATTACTTAATTATGCGTACGGGTAGAAATTTTTTCAAAATAGAGGCTCTTACTGGAGAAAACGTAGGCATTTGAAAGCGCAGGTGTATTTTCTTACAACCGAGTTGAGCGAGAAGTAGTCACTGGTGAGAAATTCATCTTGGATGTGTAAGAAGCCCTCTACTTCCCAACCCACGTGGCAAAAGTAAACAGAAGGTGGGTCGGGGCGGGGTGAAGCAGGACTCGGTCAATTCCCTAATTTGTCGAGTCTTTAAAACTACAGGCCCCTAAAGCACTAAGGGCATGCCCTTGAAGAAACTGGGGAGCGCTTCTGTAGAGGGAGATTAAAGCGACGGTGTAGAAGATGCCAAAGCGGGGGCCAGGCAGGTAGAGGATGCACCTACCTACTGGGCTGGAGGTGCTGGCCTTCGCGCGCGGACGTGGGTGCGCGCGTGGCGTGTGCGGAGATACGTGCAAGGAGGCGGGAGTACAGGCTAGTGCGAGGTGGCAGCGCGTAGGGGTGAGGGGCGCGCTCATACCTCCAAGTGGGTGGTGGAGTGCTGCACTAACAAAAAAGTTTAAAAGGTTAATCTAGGGTCTCCACCCTTGTGCCAGGCACCCACGCCACCTCCGCCTGCGCGCCTGCCGGGTGCCTTCATCCACCTGGCTACCCGTCCGAGGGGTTCCGGGGTGCCCCGAAGTCTGGCTGCTGCGCCCGGGGGCTGGACCCTCCCCTGCGCTCGCCCCCGCCCCGTGCTCATCCCGGCGCACAGCTCCTCCGGCTCCACCGCACAGCGCCAGGGCAGCCCGGGCCTCGACTGCGCACCCCATTGTACGGCCCCCAGGTGCCGCCAGCCTTTGTGCAGGAAGCCCCGGGCGGGGGGCTGATTCCCCGGGAGCCGGGGCTGAGGGCCCCAGGGCGGCGACGGAGGCCGGGGCGGAGGAGGAGGAGGAGGAGGCCAGTGGAGGAGGAGGCGAGCCGGGCGAAGGAGGAGGAGGCCGGGCGGAGGAGGAGAGCGGGCAGCAGCAGCGGCTGCAGCGAGAGCTCGGGCGGCCGCCGCCGCCTCCTCGCGAGCGCCGCGCGCCCAGGTCCGGCTCGCATGCGAGTCACGTCCGCCCCCTCGGCGAGGCCGCCCCGAGACGCCGGCCCCGCCGAGTGATGAGAACAGACGTCAAACTGCCTTATGAATATTGATGCGGAGGCTAGGCTGCTTTCGTAGAGAAGCAGAAGGAAGCAAGATGGCTGCCCTTTAGGATTTGTTAGAAAGGAGACCCGACTGCAACTGCTGGATTGCTGCAAGGCTGAGGGACGAGAACGAGGTCAGAGCGCTTCTCTTATGCCGCGAAACTCTCCCTTTCCTCTCCCCCTTGCTTTCTCTCGGGCTTCCAGGGACTGGGGAGCAAACCCTGCAGTGTCACCCGCAAATACCAAGAGGGAAGAGGGAAGCTTCACAAATTACTGGAGCCTCTTCAACATGGCTGACAAATATAGTTTTAATTCCCCCCCCCCCTTTAAACCTGTAGTTCTGTGTTCCCTCCTCTCTCCTGCTAATGCTCCTCTCCTCACCCAGAAAACTTACCTTTGTGACTCTGACCAGCCGGTTTCCCGGCCTTTTATCCTCAGGAAAGTGATTTTTCTTTGCTTTCCTTTCTCAAATAGTTCAGCTTTGGGGGTCACTACTTTTCCCTTGAATCCTTCCCGACCCCCATTCCTTCTTGTAAGTCAGACCAGTCTCTCGTTTAACCTAGCCCACCCCGGAAAGAACTCTGACGGAGTGTTTTCGACCCTTTTATCTGTTGTAGGGTCTGGGTCTGGGTTTGCGTTCGCGTCCGCCCCTTTCTAGCCCGGTGTCCGCTTTTGGGGGGGCGAACTAAGCGAATGTCACGGGGAGTAGAACTGTAGTACACTAAGTGGGGTTTTGGGTTTTTTTTTTCTTCCCCTAAGTCCGCGCGTTTTGCTAGTGGTGCTGAGTGAGAGAGAATAGTTTCTCTGGTCCCCCCAACAAGACCAGATCCCACTTTTCTCAACGTACATCAGCTCTGCGATGGGCTGTGCCTTCCAGTCTGGGGAGTGGGTGTAAGAGAATTTGTGGGCAAATCTGTGCCCTGGCTTTGTGCTTCTCCCGAATCAGCTTCATTTGGTTCCCCGGTAAGTGACAGGCAGACACAAAGGCAGGCGCAGGCCGGGGGGGAGGGGGCGGGCGGGCGGGAGGAGGGGGGCAGAGTTGAGAGTTGGAAGACTGCAAGGTCAGGGGCGCCGAAAGAAATGAAACCCAGTCCCAGCAAAGAAACGGAGAAGTAGGGAGCCAATTTCTAACAGTCCCATCCCCATTTTTCTCTCGTCTTGGTTGCTCGCTTTTCGTCTTTTATTTATCTGCCTTTCTCTCCGTGTCTCTTTTTTTCCTCCTTCTACACACACACACACACACACACACACACACACACACACTCACTCTCTCTCTCTTTCTCGCTCTCCCTCCCTCCCTCCCTCTCCAGTCTTGCCGAATCTTTTCGCTGGGGCGGCTTGTCTAGTGTTATTAAGCTAACAGAGTTTCTATGGAGAGTTTTCTACCTATGACACAATAAAGTATGGCCTGGATAGACTCCTGGGAAGGTCGAATATGAAATATAAGTGTTATTTACTGGCTATTGCCTTCATGACAGACTTTTAATTGCATTGAGTGATTTCCCCCCCCCCCCTCCTTCATCTAGTGTTTAGGAATTGAAAGAAGGGTTATTTTCCAGTTGTTTGCTTAAAGTTTACTGAAATATTTTTTTTACATCTTCTTGTGTAGGGAATAAGTTACATCCACGAATTTAAAATCTAAAGTCTGATAATGTGCTTTCACCTCTCCAATAAGGGATAATAATGGCAAATCCAAATAAAAAAATATTCATCAACAAATGATCCAACATGAGAGGAAGATTGTTTCTTAGGGGAAGTTGGGATAGTAGGGAGAAAAGATGTTGCTTTGCTTTGCTTTGCTTTGGTTTAAGACTGTGGGTATTGTTGCCTGGTTAATGAAATAATTATATTTGCATTTTAATGGAAAGTTGAAATGCTGGAGGAGAATTATATTCTTTTACGTGTTTGTATGCATGTCTCATAATAAGTTTGAGGAAGAATATAAATTTCAACACAATGTTGGGGGTTTTTTAATGTTATTAAGCAGAGAACTGTTAGGACTAAAAAGTCACACTTAAGTTTAGAAAGCATGTATATGATTAAAAGATGGGTAGAAGGAAGAGCACAGTAATGGACATTACTCCGTAAATCAGATTTCCAAAACCATTTGTCCTCAGTAGTTCACTTTGTAACTCTTTATATTTTGATCTCTGAAAAAGTAATTAAGTTTAATTGTTGATACTGATGGTTATTTCACATGAGTACAGGGGAGTAGTATTACTGATCTGGGGTAGAAACAGCTCATTTGGTTAGTTCTTATTTGTCCTAAAATAATAAGGAAAATAGGAGTTTAGCATAAATGCTTACTATTCGTTGAGAAAACTATGATTAATTATTGCAGTAATTCAGAGTTAAAAATAAACAGTTCCTTTTGCTAACAGACTAATATGTAACTGCTTTTTTGGGACTTTTCAAATGTTGTGGTTTATGCTTTCTTCAAATTATTAAACTAATAATAGATGTAGTATTTTCCATTCATATTGGTAAATAAGAATACCTGCATTGGTTAGTAATATTTATTGTGACCATGATGACTTGTTCTTTCCTATCAAACTTAGACTCTGTAATTTTATGTATCCTATTTGTATGCTGAAAATAGCTGTTATTAATATTTTAGGGGCTTAAATGATTATAAGGAGGAGATGCACATTATTCACCAGTTTCAACCTAAGTACCACTTTCTCCTTTATTATAAAAGAAATTATTTGGATTAATATAGAATAGTTGACTATAACAGACACAATGTCCATTCTTCATTTATTATATGTCTTATAGTATCACCAGGATGTTCTCAGAATTTCATGAGATAGAACAGTCTTGAGCAATTGGATTTTATGGAAGTGATAGTGGATAATAACAAGATAGATCATCTTCTTAAACTGCAATATTATTTTGCTTATTTTCTTATTGAACTAATAGTTAAAGAGAAGTTAACTTGGAATGAAGAGAGTTCCTTGTTTTGTTTAAATTCACAGATTTACTAACTATGGCTTTAATTATATCTGGGGTTATGCTGGTCCATGCAATGAGTCAAGGGCATTGGTATGATTTTGATGCAGTGACACATGAAGGTAGACATTGGCAGGCCAACATCACTTTCAGAACAAGTGAAATGCACCTGCCAAGGAGTTATTTATGAGAGACTTCCAAAGTCCTGTTTAGGCACTGGACTTGTATTAGGTAACAAAAACTGGAGTTAATGTTTTGGTTTCACTTGCTGAAGTTATAATTTCTCTATCAATTCCTCCAAGGCTCCACCCACATACAATGTTGTAAGCCAGTGTCACTACTGAAATGTATTTCCTTATTTGCTGATCTCAGTAAGAAACCTTTCTTATAATTCACAGACACGCCTGGCAGAAACTCTCTTTTCCATTATGTCCCAGATCCAAGTTGGTAAATTCTTATGAATTCTTTGAAATTATCTTTTAAATGTCATCAAAAGCTATGGATGTTTGACATGTTAGAATATCTAATACTTAGATTAAACCTGCTTTTTTGTACTGTAATTCCTTCCTCAATAAGTTCAGTTGTTGTTACTTAATAGAATTTAATAATCTTACCTAGCCATCTCAAATTACTGGCAGGAACCTTCTTTGTTTTATGAACAAGCATATAGACAAGTTAAAACTTTGGAGCAGCTGTCAGTGTTGGTTCATCAAAATAACATTTTCCTCAACTATTATGCCACCATTGCACACTAGTTCTTAAGCGTAGTAATGGCACCAAAGCCAGTAGCAGGAAAATATTTTACAAGCCAACTTTACAATTGGAGCCTTAACTGTGGGAGAGTCGGTTTGCCAAGTAGAACTGGTGGTTATCTTGGAAATAGTGCTGAAGAACACAACCACAAATGATTTTGCCAAATATACAGTATTTACTTGGTCTAGATCTCTAGTTTCTATTTTGATGCACTGCCAAAACTCAGGGAATAACTGTGACATTATTTAAGGAGGTTATATAGTACATCTGTATACCTTGGTGTATAGTACAAAATACATATGCATTGGTATACAGTGGGAAAGAAGAGTTCCACAAGAGGAGAGGGTAAAGTGAGAGCCCTTGAATCACTGTGACTGCAAGCCAAAGAGAGTCTTAAGTATCTATTTCCAGCATTATTCTGATCCTAGATTGTACATCGCAGAAAATCCCTAACTTAAGAAAGATACACAATCTTTTCCCAATAAAATAGATTTTCTTTGTCCTTTACAAAATAGTAAGTTCTATCAGCTTTGATTTATGCTTTCTCCACTTGTCATGAAATGTGGTTAAATGTGCCAGGATTCAAGAAGTAGAAATAGATAGTAGGTAAATTTTCAATGTTTTTTGTAAAAACAAACTCAGTGATAATGTCAACCTACCTGAAGTTTTAAGAATTTGGAACTCAATATTTTATATTTACTCAGGGTTGTTACTCAGACTGGCTTGAAATCAAGCTCCAAATAATCTGAGATTTAAAATTAAGAGATGAATAAATTAGGATGAAGTGTTTTTGGAGGACAGGTTAGGACATAAAATGAACTGGTTGCTTCACTAAAAATACTATTTCTTTTAAATTGAATTTATGTTGCTTGGAAGAGAGGCACTGATTTCTACATCTATTTATTCCATAGTATAACCTAGGGTTTTCTACTCAGTCAATATGTAATGAAGGGAGTACCAGCTTCTAGTTATAAGATGAGTTATAAGTTCTGGAATGTAATGTAATGTAACGATAGTCCAGTGACTATCGTTAACAATACTGTGTTGTATATTTAAAAGTTGCCAAGAGTATATCTTCAAAGTTCCCACCACACACACGCAAACTTTGTAAGTATGTGAAGTGATGGATATAACTGAATTATTGTGGTAGTCACTTCCCAGTATATACATATATCAAATCATTACCTTGTACATGTTAAACTTACATAATGTTAAATGTCAGTTATGTCTCAAAAGCTGAGAAAAAATAATGAGTGACCTAGAACTCGAAAAAAATGTCATTAAATTAGAAAATGTATAATGTAGTCTCAGTACTGGTGATGATGGTAGTAATGATGGTGGTTTTTCCTTACATGTAACTTCTACAAGCCATCCACTGTAAACGTACAGCTTAAGGATCTTTAGTAAATTTACACAGACATAACATATTTTT